ATTAGCTATTTTACTTAATTGTCCGCTCAACGATTTTAGCTTAGACCGGTGTTGAGGTACTGGTAGAATCAACTCTGGCTGATGGAATCACTGTAATGGAAACTTGACAGCGTAAGAATGGCAATGATTCGACTGAAATTGCAACAAGCAAAAGACTTGACCTTGGTAAATGTCTATGTATTCAATTCAGAGGCAACGTTTCAGCCCTTCCTCGAGGTAGTAGATGATACTCGGCATATCCGTAAAGTCTTAATGTAAGTGCCACGGAATAGTAAAGTTGAAAATCCAAGAAGAGCAATGAGGATTCAGCAGAGGCTAACCAAATTTTCGCCGAATCGAAAACTCGCGGGAGTTTGCTCATCCGGTCAACATGTACTTCGTTGACCTGGAAACATCTTTGACTGAATCTCTCACCACATATTGCAGGAGTGCTGCAAGCACAAGGTCGATGGTCAGTTCCTACGAGGTATCCAGTCGATATATGTAGGCAGCAGGCACTGCGTCCGAGTAAATGTTGTTAACTTAAAAGTGTTCAACGTTGGACTCCGCTGATGCTATGTTCTGTCCCTTCCTGCATATGCTGTGCATGGATAAGACAGACAAACACATAGACACACGATGTCTACATCAGCATAGAATACATGTAGACAGATAAAATACATGCCGTTTACAGATGACCTTGTGTTGACATATACTGAAACTGATCTACAGCGCTGTCTTGAAAGGTTTGCAAACAAGCGCGATGTGGCGTGCGTGTTCGAACGCATCTAAAACAAATAGTCGAGTGTTTGACATTCCCTGCTTGATGTGCTCTGAAGCTATAAACAGAGAAGCAGACGAGCAGGCGATGACATTCACATATCTCTGGGCTGTACTAACTGAAGGTGGAAAATTGGAGGAAGAGATCGACCAATTGCGAGTGGTGTTCTCACTGACTAACTCGAGTCCCTAATTAATGCAGAGTGAAGTTTGAAAACTAAGTTCTGCACGCTGAAGTCGATCTTCGTACTGACGTTGATCCGCTGTTATAAATCATGAGTCATGAGTGATAAATTTAGATTGTGGGTACAATCAGATGAAACGGAT